TACTAGTAAATGTTACAATCATAACAAGTACGATTTTACACGAGAGAAATACAAATATATTTACCTAGAACGACAGCAGCGTGTGGCGAAGAATGGTGACGTTTGTGTAGATCTAGCTTATATATACTGCCCAGACGAAACCGGATTAACTGATTTGGCAAGAAATTAAACTAGATTCTTTTGGCGTGAGACAGCAAGCGATGCTGTCGCGCCCGTTCCACGTCAGAGCGCGTCGCGTCACCTATTCTCAGTGTACCTGCTGATTTCGATACGCGTCGCGTCACCTGGCCGTCCAGCTTGTCACCGCTATTGTCCAACGTTTAAGAGGCCGTTTTGTACAGCCGCGCCACTATTATACTTGGCAATAATTAATTGGCCTATGTGTACAAATATCGTTAGTCCAACAGAGGGACTAGCCACCCAATCCACACCCACCCACTGGACCCGCCACTTGCAATATATTGTTAGTCTATTCAGGCGGGACACGAAAGGTGTCAGCATCTACGTAGAGGTCGCAGCGGGTAGCCCCCCCCCCCGCCTTATAAATGGGAGGACAGGGGACGGCTTGGGGGGTCTCCTCGACATAGCTGTTGTGCAAACGGGAGGAGAGATTGTAGCGGTTCCCTACAAAACCTCGTCTTATCGGTACAGTGTACACTTGTACATCTTCTTCGTTAGTTCTTCTTTGATTGATGATTTTTTTATTAATTATTTTTTATTTATAATTGAGACCTATATATATATAATAATAAGAAAAAATAAATAAAGAAGAAAAACGAAGAAGAAGATGTACAAATGTACACTGTACTGCCCGAAAGGTTCAGGAAAAAATGTTCGCGGCCCGGTCTCGGACAATTGGTCACACGTGCAGCTATTGTTCACTTCTCAGATCATATACAACACATCAACATGTGTTGTATATATCTATGCTCAGATCAAGCAATCGTGTAGGCCTACAGGCTACATTTGTAAGCACTTTACGGCAGATGAGGCACGGCGACCTAGAGCACGAATGTAGAGCCGTAATATGTCGTTGTCCAACCTATAATATGTAAAACCGTTGACACAACAATGGAACCCAGCACAAGATTAGGAGTTACATTCCCCTACACCCCACGTACGCTTCTGTCGCTTACATAATTACTGAGTGTATAATATAGACACTATAATATTATATCATATATCTCAGACAACATATCTCATATAATAGACAATCTCTCGTAGAAAACTCTCACAGACAATCTCTCATAGAAAACTCTCATAGACAATATGTGACCCGTGATAGCCAAATGAGTCGGAAGTCGCACAGTATAGCATTCTACTGCACAATCGATTAAAAAGAAAAAAATGTATTTTTAAAAAATTTCGTAAAATTTTTTTTCCACAAAAATTATCTACACTGTTTACTTTTAATCTGTATAATCAAAAATGTCTTAATTCAATTAAAACCTGCTTAAATTGAATAATTTATAATAATTAAGTGTCGGCTAATAATATCAGTGAATGATATATTAGTTTTCAGCCCTTATTTTAGACAATTCTCATGAAATATTGTTAAACTTTTGGGGAACTTTTGGGGGTACTGGGGACGTGCCGCTGGAAGCGGTTTGCGACAGGGTCAGGTTTTTAATGTACCCGAGGCACCCCCCTACCTAGCTCCAAGAAACGGTATTGCTAGGGTTAGAATACCAGTATAGACAATCCGTCGCACAGCCTGGTCGGGCTACCCCCTACCCGGTTCCGAGGCGAGTGCCCCCCCCCCGGGCGTGTGACGTAATTACGGCAGTGTGCTGCATGGCTGCTGTCGTACTGTCGTAAAGGTTTGATGACTATACTGTCGTACACAACAGCGACAACGGGGACCGACAGTTATACTCGCTGTAGGTTGATTGGCAACCCCGCGATAAGACCAGGGCCAAATAAATTCAACTGAGCTACACATAACGAACCGTCCGACGAGGAGACAGCAGCAGATGCGCTTAGTACTGTAGGCCACAGCTATAGGCACTTGAAGCGTTTCAATCGCTAAACAAAGCAGCTTGGGTTGTACGCGCCGCCATTGCTGGTGCGGCTGCACACTGACCACATAAATAATTAGATTATTTATAATATATTACTTTACTTACCACATATTTATGATGTCAGTGTGCAGCCCAGCAGCAATGGCGCGGCGTATGTTTACGATGAACGCTTCAAGTGCTGTGCTGAACGCCGCCCTGCTCTAGCTCTCTCTGCTAATATATATGTAAGTATATCTATAATAATATGTGCATATGTTGTGTGTGTGTGTGTGTGTGTGTGTGTGTGTGTGTGCGTGTGTGTGTGTGTGTGTGTGTGTGTGGTGTGTGTGTGTCGCGCGCGCAAGCGCGCGTGCGATGCGTGCGCGTGCGGTGAGTGTGCGTGTGCGGATGTGTGTGTGTGTGTGGGGGGGAGGGTTTGGTGTGATGTTATGTGTGGTTGGATGTGGGAGGTCGTGTTGGGCTGTGTGTGGGTTGTGTGTTGTGTGTGTGTGTGGTGTGGTGTGGTGATGTGTGTGTGTGTGGTGTGTAATTGAGTGCTCCTCTCTGTCTGTCTGCGTACGTCCTGTTACCGTACGAACGGCATCATTTCCAGGTTCTTAACGGCGCAATTATAAAAAGCTAATATACCTGCTCTTGAACTGCCCACTATACCATATATATAAAATATATATATATGATATCGCTATATCCTCGACACTACTCATCCCGGCGATCTCTTTGGAAATAAATTAATGTTCAGACCGCAATGTCCTGCTAATGAGCAATTATTTCTTGCAGACAATGCATGATACAAGCTTAACCTGTTTCCCCCGTCAGGGTTTAATTACTATGTAACCTTAATTGTACTTAGTCGGAGTATGGGAAAGGCCGTAGGGTGAGGAGTGTTTTTCCTGTTTTTTGCGCACAGCGAAAAACGCGCGATGACCATTATCAACAGCGTGATCCTCTCTCTGATTTTCGCTAACTCTGCTGTAAAGACAGACGTAAAGCAAAACACGAACTAGTGAAGTTACGTATCACAGACGCGTTTATTAGCGCCATGAGCAACGCGACAGTAAGCGATAAGTATCACGCACAACAAGCGCGTACAAATACGTCAACGTAAGCAAAAGGCCGGAAGACAAAGGGCAAACTCCACGACAGATGGCAGCTCTCGCTCGTCAGCTGAATTCAGGAGTATCCTGAGTGTACGAAGGGCACTGCATGCAAGTTGGGCAAAGGAAAGGAGTTGCTGCTCGCTCCATCCACATCCGGTCGCTTATCTCGCGACCTCTTCGGCGCCTTCGTCCCGGGCTCCCGGCGTCTCCGCAGACATGCCTCGTGAAGTCGACGCGGTTTATGGTACGCAAGCGCAGTACCTTCGCGGCAGATAAGTCCATGTCCCCCCTGACCTCTGTTCGACCCTGGCTCTTAGAAGGCTATTTCTGACTAATAGTATAATATAGTATGTATATAAATACTAATATATATAGGGTAGGGTAGGAGTAGGTTAGTCAGAATACTAACGAGCGCAGGTCAAACAGTGGTCGGGGACATAGACCGCTAACGAGCCTGTACCACGGCGCTTCAGTTCTCTGCCAGAAACACGTGCGCTTTGCTCGTCATTATCAGCCCATACCCGATGCAACGAGCGCACTCAAAGAGCGGCCTTCTTAAGATACCGACCTTCTTTATACTAGAAAGAGCATTCTTTATACCGTCCTTGATACGATGCATCACAAGTGCCGGCATCTAGTAATTGTCCCGCCCTCAGTGCTCGTGCGTTGGCATCGTCGGCCCGCGCTAGCTCGGCATGGCCTGGAAACAAACCGAAAAAATACTTAATAAATAAGCTGATACGCAGCCGCGCTACAACTATAGATGTGCAAGTATTAGAAACATAACTGAATGACAATATTGGCTATCTTGTTTTAAGCATTATACAGGAGTAAATAAAAATGATCTATATAATAATATATAATATAAATATAATATAATAATAATATATCTATTATTTCACTCCTGATTATATGATTCTG